TCAAGAGAGAAAGATAGAAAGGAAAAGGAGACAGAGAGAAAGAAGAAAATCTACAAAGAAAGGGGGAGAATGGCAAGAAGGATTGGATGATAGGAAGAAAGGTGAATAAATAAAAAGAAAGGTGATCGAGAGAAAGAAAGAGCTAGAAAAAGAAAGAAAGAGAAAGGGACGCGTAGAAAGAAAGAAAGGAGTTAGAAAGAAAAATAAAGAAATGATATAGAAAGAAAGAAAGAAAGGAATGAAAAATAGAAAGGAAGGGGATAGATAAAAAGAAAAGAGAAAAAAAGAAAGAGAAAAAATAGAAAGAGACAGGAGATAGAAAGATAGGGAGGAATAGAATGACAAAAAAGAAAGAAAGAAAGAAAAAAGAAAGAAAGGAAAAAACAAAAAAAGAAAAGGGAAAAGAAAGAAAGAAAGGGTAAAAGGTAAAAAAGGAAATAAAGAAAGTAAGAAAGGGAAAGAGAGAAAGAAAGAAAATGAAAGAAGGAAATGGAAAAGAAAGAAAGTAAGAAACAAAAAAAGAAAGAAAGGACAAAAACAAGAAAAGAAAAGGGAATAGAAAGAAAGAAAGGGTAAAAGGTAAAAAGGGAAATAAATAAAGGGGAAAGAAAGAAAGTAAGAAAGGGAAAAAGAGAAAGAAGGAAAAACAAAGAAGGAAAGGGAAAAGAAAGAAAGAAAGAAAGAAAAAAGAAAGAAAAGAAAAGGGAAAAGAAAGAAAGGGTAAAAGGTAAAAAGGGAAATAAATAAAGGGGAAATAAAGAAAGTAAGAAAGGGAAAGAGAGAAAGAAAGAAAATGAAAGAAGGAAATGGAAAAGAAAGAAAGTAAGAAACAAAAAAGAAAGAAAGGAAAAAACAAGAAAAGAAAAGGGAACAGAAAGAAAGAAAGGATAAAAGGTAAAAAGGGAAATAAATAAAGGGGAAAGAAAGAAAGTAAGAAAGGGAAAGAGAGAAAGAAAGAGAAAAGAAAGAAGGAAAGGGAAAAGAAAGAAAGAAAGGTAAAAGAAAGGAAAAGGAAAGAAAGAGGAAATGATTAAAAGGACAGATACTGACTGACTGGCATCATAAATTCGAGGGAATCTTTCATCAATTTGCTCGACTCCGAAATCAAAGGTACATAAACTAAATAAATTTTTTCAACTATTCGCATTTAAACGAAACCGTAGAAATCTAAACCGCGCGTAAGGATCTACTCTATTGTAAATAACAACTGAGATGCATAACAAATAATAATATGAGACAATTTTTTTCGCACAATGAAGTTCACCCTGTACAAGGCCCGAGAGCCACTCGAGGTAGAGGATTACAGAATAAGAGGCACAGATTATGCGGATATGTGTGGAAGCTAACGCTTAACCATAGATTTGAACATGTCATGATTGTAGTGATTGGAGAAATATTCTTGGGAGTCGGTTCCACAAAGCAGCTGTTCTTGAGAAGACGCTGTCCCAGTGGAACTTGTATATCATCAATGGAATAAGAAGGGAATGAGGATGGTTCGCTACAATGTGCATGGCATGGCGGATGTTAGCCGTGAAAGTTAAAACTGGTAAAACTAAGGAGTGTAGTTCATCCGAACACTCTCCATGGAAATAGCGATAAAGCAACGAGAGGCTTGCGATGCCTCGCCTATGAGAAAAGAGTTGTAGGGTGGAAAATAATTCATTAGCTACAAGTGTTGTGTATTGCTGATTGACTCAAATAAGGCGACGAGCACTTATATATAAAAATATATAAATATTTTATTGTGCGAATTGCGGCGAATCACAGAGGTTAGGATTACGCACACAGGAATTGACGGAGACAAGTCTTCGATGAACCTCTAACCAGCCTCTCTGTCCAGATCAAGAATCGGACCGATTAAATAACATTTGGACACCTACGAAACTTCACCTGTCTACGCCTTCTTCCGGTATGTCGTCTACGCAACTTCTTATGGCCACGCCCCTTCCGGCTATGTGCCCACACAATTTCGTGTGTCCACGCCTCTTCCGGCATGCGACCAGAGGAAGCACACATTTCCTTCTGCTCAGGACACCTGTGCACCCTGTTTATTCAAGGATCAGGACACATGTACGTCCTGTTTACTTTAACCACCGGATGCATTTCCTGTTTATGCTATAACCCATTCCATTTTAGCTCACTCTCTGATGCAGCGGAAATGAGGTCAAAGGTCTTCCTCAACGGATATCCAACACAAGGATGCGGAGACACTTTGGACTCTATCGAGAATGGGAAGTGAAAACTTGGCATCCCCTGCCCGTGTATAACAGCAATAATCCATTTTCTGTCTCTTGTAAAGGTAGATAAAAGCAGGAAGAGTCAGTTACTTGCCGGAAAGACAGAGAAAAGACCATTTTTCCAGCATCTTTAATGATGGGTCATACCTCCGAGTTGCTTTTGAGGTCTGGGTTGAGTTTAAGTCCTAATAGGTGCTCAAGGTATGGGGACACACTGTGAGAACACCTGTCCATTGAATGTGACGCGCCAGTTTTTCCTCTACTGAGCTGTTAGAGCTAGGTCAAAAGAGCTAGGTCAAAGGAGCTAGGTCAAAGGAGCTAGGTCAAAGAGCGAGGCCAAAGTCAAAAAGCTAGGTAAAAGCAGAGATCAGTTGCCAATCTAAAGAAAATGATGAATGCAAGATATTAAACAAATCAGGATATGAAATGAGAAAAAATTAGGGATACATTCAAACATATAGTAAATAACTGCTAAAATTTGGAATAGAGAAGTAAATTCTTGAAAGAAAAAAGGAAAAAAAAGATAGAAAAGGCAAATATTGAGAAGGAAAGAAAGAAAGAAATGAAAGCAAGAAAATGAAGATCTTAAAGAAAGAAAGAAAAGGGAAATGTTAAGAAAGAAAAAAAAAGACTAATTGATTTGTTCTTTTACGGCGTATCAACCAATTTCAGGTTATTTAAAGCCAGAAAATATTTTTAGATTTTAAGATGTTTTGAGGATGATAAGGATTTACTGAAAGAAGTGCTACTAATTTGCCCATAGCTGGAGGGTCGGAGGAAGATGATTCATACCTTTCTCAAGAGTATTTGCGCATAAGTGAATATGACCAACCCACTGGGTAACGGCTACGGATTGGAAGTCAGAGAATCGTGTTCCCATTGGTACTTGACTATCTGATTTCCAATGCCAAGCCCTTATCCACTGCACTTGCCGGACATCCACGCTTATAGCACTTGGTATTCCCAAGTAGTCACCCATCTATTTACTAACCAGGCTCGATGTTGTTTAACTTAGGTGATCGTACGAGAACCGGTGTTTCAACGTGATATAGCCATAAAAAAAGAAGAAGGAAGAAATAGGGACAGATTAGAAACAAGGGGAGAAAGGAAAGAAAAAAGAAAGAAAAAGAATTAGGACATATTAAGAGAAAGAAAGAAAGATGACATATTAAGAGAAAGAAAGAACGAAAAAGTGACATATTAAGAAAGAAAAAGTGAAAGAAAGAAAAAGGGAAATATTAAGAAAGAAAGAAAGAAAGAAAGAAAGAAAGAAAGAAAGAAAGAAAGAAAAAGAATATATTAAGAGAAAGAAAGAGTGGGGAGATATTAATAGAGAGAAATAAATAAAAAGGGAGATATTAAGTAAAACTAAAGAAAGAATAGAAATATTAAGAGAAAGAAAGAAAGAAAGAAAGAATGGAACAAAGAAAGAGAATATATTAAGAAAGAAAGAACAAAGAAAGAAAGTGGAGATATTAATAAGCAAGTAAAGAAAGAAAGAAAGAAAGAAAAGAAAGTATTGAAGAATAAATGGCTTCTCTATCATTCAAATTGTCAGCATCACGGCTCTTTCATTTGAGTTAATTATTAAATAAAATGTATGAATTGTTTATATCTGGGGGTGGGTTGGCCACCGATAGCTGAAACCTTAGATGGGGCTGGTAATATACATTCGTCTTAATCAAGCACAAATTTATATGAAATCTAGTGATACTAATGTTAGTAATTTTTGTTTTTTTTTGTAAAAGACTGAAGTATGTTCATAGTTGTTTTTTCGGCAATACTTTTACAAGTTAAATTGCGAGACGATCGCTTTGTAACATGTCAATTTCAAAATAGAAGCGGGTTCAACATTTCGAAGAGGCTTATTTTTGAAACTTATCAATTTTCTCTCAGGTTACAAACATAATGACAATTAAATATAGTTTCTACTTCCCAGAATAGATTACCGATTTGCTGGAAGCGACTACAGCGACGTGAACGTAAAGAAAGGGTGTGTCCAAAGTTAGATAGCAAAAAAACAATCATGTCATCTGATTGTTAAAAGTATTTATAAGCTTAATGAAAAATAACAGGAAGTCTCAGCTGTAGGAAAAAATAATATTGGACTTTTCTTTTATAAATCTTTCTCAATACAAGACCCAAGAGCCACTCAAGGTAGAGGGTTACTGAATGAAGTTGTATAAGCGTAAAAAGACGAGTACGGTTTAGGAGGAAATGGTAAACACAAGACTTAAAGAAGTTAAGATTATAGTGATCGGGAAAGCATCCTATTTGGAGTCAGTTCCACGAAGTAGTGGAGGTTCCTTGTTACTATTGGGATATTAAGGTAATACGGATGATTCGTCCCAGTGTAAATGGTATGGCGGGTCTTAGCTGTGAAAGTCAGAACTGGTGAAAAGAAGAATCCAGGTTGTTTGTCTGGACATCTGCCATGGAAATAGCGATAGTCTGACGAGAGGCGTGCAAGTTTATTCTATGGGAAAAAGGTTTGTTGTGTGGAAAGTAATTCATCACCCACAAGGCTGGGTAGACGCTTTAAAGTCTACGAAGACTGGACAGCGAGAACTGGGCAGCTCTAGTCTAGATATGACAGCAGAACTCCAGTTTTGCAGTGATCTGGCTGTTCCTGAATAAAGGAGGAAAAAAGAACAAGGAAAGACATATACACATACACAGCCATTTGGAAATACAATTTATACAGTTGATTACTTATTTATACTTAATAAAAACATTCGGATTACTTTCCTTCCTCTTCCTGCTCGCTCAAAATGACTAGAATTTGTATTCTACGTCCGCTCAAGTTACCTTAGAATTTTTTTGGATGGTATTCTATGCTCACTTAGGTTGCTCAGAATCTCTTTGGAGAGAATTCTACATTCGCTCAAGTTGTCCAAAATCTAGTTGCGGTGCATTCTACGTTCGCTCACGTTATCCAGAATCTGTTTGGAGAGCATTCTACGTTCGCTCATGTCGTCCAGAATCTGTTTGGAGAGCATTCTACGTTCTCTCAAATTGTTCAGAAACTGTTTGGAGAGCATTCTACGTTCTCTCAAATTGTTCAGAATCTGTTTGGAGAGCATTCTACGTTCTCTCAAATTGTCCAGAATATGTTTGGAGAGCATTCTACGTTCTCTCAAATTGTCCAGAATCTGTTTGGAGAGCATTCTACGTTCTCTCAAATTGTCCAGAATATAAAGGAATGCATGTGAGGGAGTCGGGTTGACCCTTTAAATTGTTACAGCTGTTTCTAATTATCCGTGTCTTTTTTTGCTCTTACATAGAAAAACTAAACAGAAGATAAACCATCACTGTCAAAATTCCACATCCACAGGGTCTTCTGACAAGTAATTTGCTATCCTGAGTCAGCGTTCACATTATGTAACCAACGCTCTATTTTACAAGAACGTTAACATATATTAAAAGCTGAAAATTGTCTCGTTCTGAGACTTGGATATTGAGCGTAATTAATATAGGAAATACGGAAAATATGCAAGAGGAGAATATAAAAAATATCCTTGCAAGAGTTGAAGTATTAAAATCACTTGAAGCTGATGCTGAAAAACTAGAATTTAAAACTGCGACTATATCACGTTGAAATACTAGTTCTCGTGCTATCACCGAAGTTAAGAAACGTTAAATCTGGCCAGTACTCAGATGGGTGACTGCTAGTGAATATCAGGTTTTAAGACGTTTATCGTATCCGGCATAGCAACGTCTTACGGTCATAACACGCTGAAAGACTGCTTCTAGTTCGATCACCAGAGTTAAGCAACGTCAGGACTCAGATGGGTGACCGCTGAGAAATACTAGGTTTTAAAACGAATATCTTACCAGTCCACAGCATGTTAACACCTTACGTTCATATCACGTTGAAATACCTATACTCGTTCGATCACCGAAGTCAAGCAACTTTAAGCCTGGTCAGCACTAAGATGGGTGACCGTTTAGGGAATACGAGATGTTAAGATATTTATCTTATCAGCCCATGTAATCTTAACAATCAACGAAAATATATACTGTAGTGTTACTGACTGGAAACTAGAGAAATATATAAAATCCAGATATAACCAACGTGTGAATACCCCCCCGCAATACATCACTTTTCTCTCTCAGAATACACACACATACACACACACACGCGCGCACCTGTTTATATCTGAATACAAACGCACATCTCAATACTTTATAGACAAGCTTAGCAACTTGCTACTCATACTGGCAGAAGACCTCGATATATGGAGGTGTTTCTGGTCTGACAGGCCATAAGATCTTTCCTGGAGTTGGGTGAAGTGAGGAGACGAAGTCCAGCGTCAACCTTTGAGAGGTAGAGTTATTGATTATAGACTGTTGAGGGGTTCTCCCCCTTTTACACAAATGGACTCACCCAGTATATACATATACTACGGCTACGTGAAGACCCGAGAGAGCAAGACCGAAGAGTCGAGTCCAGAGTGACCGAGTTGTAGGTAACCGGAAGAGTGAGGGTGAGGTAACAGCGTTGTAGGAGTCACCGTGAGCAAGCACGTAGACTCAGTAAGAAGTCATACAGCGATACCTCAATGCCAAAGACTGTATATATATATATATATATATTGCTACTAAACCGTATTTCTGGAACTACTAACCTGCTTTACCAGTTTGTATTATTACATTAATAGATTATTTCCATATATTCATTCCTGGCGTTTGTTATTTATTGGTATCGGATTTCAACCCGGAATCCACAATATAGACACACAAAGTAAAAACAAAGTTTGTCTATTTTTAATGCGACTTTTTTTTTTTTTTTTTTTTTTTTAGATCGGCCCATGCATTGTCGTAAAGATGGTTCAAATCTAGGATACTTAAAAATTGATTGGGCTTCAAAAAAAAATGATGACAGTCTCTGACGGATGAAGGTTTTCAAATAAATGTCAAAGGTGACCAATGGATACAACACAATAATTAAAACAAAAAGGAAAAAAAAACTATGATAATATCTGATAAAAACTTAGAAGATACGGAACAATTTAGTAAAATGGTAGAAAAATTAAATATTAAAAAAGAAAAAGTTGTTATTCAAACAAACTTGCATAAATGAAATATTGCTGTCCAAAACTCAGGCATATATATATATATATATATATATATATATATATATATATATATATATATTATTTACATTATTCGGACTATTGCCTCATCTTTGTCGCCATATTTATCACAACGTTTCGGCCGTTCAGGTGGTTGGAATTTCGATCTGAACCCTTTATTTCGCTTACTCGGGTAGACTGTTCTAGTTCCACGTGCCATGTTTGATGGATGTCAGTTATCAGTTATTGTATTTATTTCTATGCTTGGTCGGCTCAGGAGATTTTTGTGACCTAGCATATGTGCTGATTCCTTAAATTTGCGAATTTTCCAATGGTGTTCCTTGTCTATGATCTCAACCTGATCCCACAGAGGGCGGTGATCTCCCTTCTCTCTCTATATGTGGTCAGCCACGCCTGATTTTTCTACTTCCCCTCGTGTTACAGCTTTCTGGTGTTCTTGAAGCCTTACCTTGATGGGGCGGCCTGTCTCTCCATTATATTCCTTTCCGCAGCTTAGTCATGTTCTCCTCTATGGTGGGGGGTCTTACTCGGGAGAGATATCTGCGAAGTGTCGTCAAGCTTGCCAGAGAAAAGCAATAATCACGCATAGAAATAAATACAATATGAGAACCAGTAATAAGGTGTGCCAGAGAAAAGCAATGATAACAAAGTTGCAATATGAGCTCTGGTAAAAACATGAAATGATAACAGCAAAATTCCAATATGAGCACTGGTAAAAAATGGTTGCTGAAGACATTAGGTTTATAATACTCAGAAATTCATACCCAGGTGTCCTCAAGGCACAGTGGATAAAGGCGTTGGTTAGATCCAGTGACAGGACCCAAAGAGTGTGGGTTCAATACCCGGTTAAGGCAGTGGAGAACTTTCAGAGGGAAATTAGCAGGAAATAACTGATAACTGACATCCATCAAACATGACACGTGGAACTAAAACAGCCTACCCCAGGATTCAGTTCGAAATTCCAACCACCTACAACGGCCGAAATGTTATGATAAATATGGCGACAAAGATGAGAACAATAGTCCGAATAATGTAAATAATGTACATAGTACCTCATCTCAGAAATATAATATATATATATATATATATATATATACATATATATATATATATATATGTGTGTGTGTGTGTGTGTGTGTGCCTGGTGTGACAGCAAATGTCAAATCGTGTAACAGCATCCATTTTAATACCTAAAAAACCACTGAACTAATTGAGACTTTTTTCAGGTTTTTCAGACACCATTTTTCGTAAGAATCACTGAAAAACCGTTTGAGTCATACAGCTAAAAAGAAAGCAGGTTGAAATTGTTTTGTGTCAGACCCACTGTCTTCCTATCTGAGCAATGGCGAGAGGAAAAAGATCATTCAGGCCTTCAGTAATGCTAGCAATATTTATACTCCGCTTTCCATCTTCAAAGTCCATTCAAGAACCACCCAGAGAACGGGGAATAAATGTAAAAAAAAGAAGGAACAGCAGAGAGGATCAGGAGGTCACAACAGCAAGAGGGATTATCATTTCAACTTAGAGCTAAACAGATCAATTAGAAAAGATCCAACTCGATTCATAAGACGTTTGGCACGTGAGAGATGAGTTTCAGCTGTGACAGTCCAAAGAGCAGTGAAAAAGGTTTTGAAAATGAAATCGTACGTGAAACCCGTGAGGCAACTTGTTATTCTAGGGCATAAAAGTAGAAAGTTAGAGAGAATGAAAATCATCTTGAATAATTTGGAAAATGATCCTGGAATAATATATATATATATATATATATATATATATATATATATATATATATATATATATTTGAACTTTATTTCAATCCTTCATGAGCTTTCGATTCTTACCTATGATTAATTAATGATGAACACGTCATTTTCGCTTATGATCGATTTCATCAAGATACTTCTGTTAGGCTTAGAGAATAATTATACATTTCTATTACTCAAAGTAGAGTCCACTAGTGTTATATAAACCATACCTGATGATGTCTGTATGAACAGATGAAAGCTCGTAAAAAACTAAAAAAGACCTTATGCAACTGGAATTTATAAACAGGGATCATAACATTTATCTACAGGTTCGGGGTTAATGTAATTTATTAAATTTGTTCGCGAAGATGTATTTTTCGATCGACATTTATATCATTAACTTCTATATCTGTTTTTTTGTGTGAATGATTCACGTAATATATATATATATATATATATATATATATATATATATATATACAGTCCATCAAAAAATTTATATACACTTCAGGAAAGGTAAAACTTGTACACATATTTGTAATACTAAATTTATTCAGACATTATGAGGTTAATACAAGTTACCTTTGGACTCTACAATCACAAGAGATACTCAAAATGGCGGTCTTTAGCTTCCAGACATTTATTAGTACGGTGAACTACACCTTGGGCACATGCGTTTTCAATTTCTTGTCTAATGGCCTTTAGGATATGTTGATTCTACAGTTATGAGAGTAATTCCGTCTGTCGAGAAAATACCACAGTAAACAGTGTTATCGAAATTTGATTAAACTACGAAAGTTTTTCATTTTCTAAAACATGTATACATGTTTTGGCGGACTCCTTTCTCTCTCTATTTCTCTCTGTCTCTATCTCTGTCTGTCTGTCTGTCTTTCTCTCTTTCTGTTGAAACTTGACTAATGCATGGAATAATAATACAACACAAAATGTACTTAGAACAAAATGTATTGAAACAAGAAAGGTACACAATATTTACATATAGACTTTTGTATATTCTTGGGAAGACCGTTTCAGGAGAATGTGCTGACTTAGTCGCAGTCGGGCAGAGTCTCTGGATTGAATCTCTTGATTCCTTCCCTCGTCTTCCCGGGACCAACCATATTTATATGGTGGGTACTCCACTATGCAAATTAGGTGGATCCTAGCACAACACACACACTCTCTCTCTCTCTCTATATATATATATTAATCATTTCACTCTAAGCAAGGCAATAAAGCCACTAAGATAAAAGGGGGTTACCGGGTGTTAGAGAATATGTAATGAAAATCACTTTTAAGGAGAGAGACATTAAAAGAACAATAATTAAGAGGACAGTAGATAAAGATTGACATTTCAATTAAATCTTTGAAGATTAAAGTTGACTGGGAAGCAAGAGATCAGAAGAGGGTTCCAGAAGTGAGAAGTGCGAGAGAAGATACAGCTAACATAGAACTTACGGTTACATCTAACCATTTCTACTGCCGAATGATGAAACCTTTTGGCCAATCTAGTACTACGCTTAAATTCATAAAGTCTAGGTACCATAACAGGATGTTCATCAGAATAATTATGGAAGTATTTATAGAAAAGGCACAGGGAAGCTACATTACGCTGGCGGAAAAGGGACTGAAAGCGAATGGTAGGTCAGAACCAATAACAATGCAGATTCCTTTTTGGATTTCATCAAGAATTTCTAAATATCTAGCAGGTGCACCAGACCAGATGAGACAGCAATATTTAATGAAGGGAAGAATGGTAGAGTTTTAAATGTGTAAAATAGATTCTGTCGAGAAAAACTTGTCAAGCATGACATAGTAAACTAACTTTGGTAACAGAAGACTGAGCAATGGATTCGATATAATCTTTCCACTTGATGTCAGTGGAAAACGTTAGTCTAAGAAGGCTCAACGAATCACTCTCCTCGAGCTGGAGATTAGCATCAAGCATGATGATAGAAATATATATATATATATATATATGTATATAAATAAAAAGAAAGAACAGTAAGATATAAAATCCGGTGTTTTTATAGATATTTTTATTTTTACAAAATAGTGCTCAATGTAAATTTACAGAGCATTAATATTATAAATTAATTGATTTAAAATATGGTTTTTTTTTTTCGCTACACAATTCCAACCATGTTTCAAAAATAGAAGCTAAAAACCCCGAATTTAATTTTGCAATTAAATTAAAAGCATTAGTTCCATTTCATCTTCAAGCGAATTTTGGAGTAACTTTTAAAAATTACCGGGTTTTTATATAATATGAGTCCTCAGCCAGGAATTGAACCTGTATTCAACAAGGAACCGTCATTTGGCCTGACGTGATATACCATTTGCTAACCAGACGCTTCCTCTGTAGCTAAAGTATATAGCACGTCAGGGCGAATGACGGTTCCGTATAGAATACAGGTTTGTGTAGATTTATAAACCTTTCCTATTTGTTCTTTATCCTATCATTCTGTATATGATCCGTATTCCCACTCACACACACACACTCACTCACACATACACATAAAAACACACACGCACACAAACACACACATATATATCAGGTCATCCCATAAGTTGTGTCCGAATTCTGAATAAAGAAAACAAGTGACCAAATGTTACATTTAATTACAGATTCAATAAACAATGTATTTTCCCTGATTATCTATGACTTCCTTCCGTCTATTAACAAGCTTACTAATTCCATTACTGTAAAATTCTTTTGGCTTTGATTCGAAGAACTCACGAATGTCAGTATCAACCTCTTCCTTTGTTACAAAACTGTTTCTTTCAAATGATTCTCTAAGCTACGAAATAAATGGTAGTCTGAAGGAGCAAGATCGGGAGAATAAGGGGGATGAGGAATTTTCTCCCAACCAAGTTTTTCGATCTTTTGTGACGTGATTCTTGCTGTTTGGGGTTGCGCATTGTCCTGATGAAACATCACTTCTTTTCGATTCACTAGAGCAGGTCTTTTTTTTCCTCAAAGCTTGGTTCAAATGCTCTAATTGCTGACAGTATATTTGAGCATTAATTGTTGCATTAGGTGGTAAGAATTCAAAGTGGATTATTCCTTGGCGATCCCACCAGATTGAAAGAACCTTTTGCTCATGAAGTTCCCTTCTCGGCTGTGGCTGGGGTCCTTCCCCTTTACCAAGCCACTGTCTACGACGCTTAACATTTCGAAAAAAATCCTTTTTCGTATATCCAAAAAAGGTGAAACAAGTTGGCAAGAATGGAGCAGATGTCAACTCAGGATTTGAGGTTGTTTTCAGACAATTCATGAGGCACCCATTTTCCAAGTTTAGGAACTTTTCCAAGTTGTTGAAGATGACGATGAACAGTTGTATGATTTGAACTGAGAACCATTGCAAATTCCTCAACTGATAAAGCAGGATTTTCTTCAAGGGCTGCTTCAAGAAGCTTTTCATCAAACTCAATTGGACGTCCGGTTCGATCTTCATCTTCAAGGGTGAAATCTCCACCTATGAATTTTGCAGACCATCTTCTGCAAGTTCTTTCATTCACACATCCCACTCCATAAACTGAGGGAATGTTTCTAGCCGCTTCGGCTGCTGAGTTTCCTTTCTTGAACTCATAAAGAATTATGTGCCTCAAATGATTCTTGTGTACTTCCATGTTAGCAGGGTTTTAATCAAACAAAATTTAATTTTATTGTTCTCTGAAATAAAATTTGATCAGTTTAAATGCATCTAAACATAAAAATAATATTCAGCTCCATTAGACATTATAAAATACTCTTTAAATTTCATTTATTTTAACAAAAAGTTAAAATTCGGACAGAACTTATGGGATGACCTGATATATATATAATCTCCAGATCGCTTGAGGCGTGAAACTGTTAGTAGCCATCCAGTGTTGATTCCTAGGCGCCCACTATCTATCTATCTATCTATCTATCTATCTATCTATCTATCTATCTATGCACCTTCCACCAAAAAGAGAGAAATAGTTGGATAGAACGTGTACAGTTCAAAGAAATAGTAAAGTGAATATTTAAAGAATATATGTGTGTTTCCCTCTGTCCATCTCTTTCAACATATAGTAGATCAATGTCAAGGAAATAAGGGAATAAAAATATAAATAAATTTGATAAAATTACTGATAGAGGGACAAACTCAGAAATCGAATGTTCGTACAGTAAATAGAGCCATAAAAAAACTAATTATAGAATAACAAAGTTGATAATTTGGGGCAGTTTGGCAATATCATTACTTGTTTATTTTCAATGATATTTTCTCACAACTTCCATTCGCAAATGAAAAAAACAAACAAAAAATAAACAAACAAAAAAACCCAATCATATTAAAAATGAAAAAAATATATACCTTATAGTATTCAATAAGTCATATGATCGCCCGGAATATTTTTATTTTTACATATTTTTTTAATATAACACCGTCAATTTACAACGTCACACACGCGACTGCTTTTTTTAATTTCACTGTTATATGACGGAATCATAACTGCCTGCTCCTGTTGTTTCATTATATATTTACGATACAGTGCCAATTTTTATAAAAAAAAACGTACAGATTAAATAAAAATGTACAATAATTCTATATGATGTATCACTTAAAGACGTGGTCGATCTTGGATCTTCACAACTTCCCATCCTGTGTAGCTATAAGCTTTTTCTGTTGTCTATCCCTCCTAGGCACTGTTCTGCCAATCATTTACACAAATTCGTTTGGTACATTCTCCGCTGCTTTCCTCAACCCATCTTGCCTTTAATATGTTCTGTGAGTTTCCAAGTCTCTAAGCCCTCTTTCCTCATTGTAGGCCCTAGAAATGCCAATTGTCTTTAAATGCAACGGTCTTTTTGACATTTTCTTTAAAACTTTGTTGCTGCTCACATATTCAATTCATCGTATTCGCAATACTCTTCTGTAGAACCACATTTTTATTGCCTCAAGTATTTTCTTCATCTGATTGATTGAATTGTTTTTTTTTACAGTTTATCAACCGTTTATTTAAAGCTGAAACATATTTTGAGTTATAAGAATAATTCTTTTGTCCTGCGTGAGAATTAACAATTATTGCGACATAAAAATGATTTTTCCAAAGACAAGTCCTCTTATTTAACCCATAATTGGAAAAAAAGAAATGCGTTCATACATTCCCGAAGAGTATTTGTGCGTAAGTGAATGGTGATTTTCTAAGGGTAGCTTAGATGTGGCACAGGGCCAACAGTGAGGATCGAACTCACACTCGTAACTGTTCCAGGGAGACAAACTCGCTAACCACGTCGGGGCACCCAAAGGAATTTTCTAAGCGTAGCTTGGCTGTGACGCAAGCCGAAAATGTGGGGCAACCAGTGAGGGTCGGACTCACTACCCAGTCGTAATTGATCCAGCGAGACAAGTTTGCTAACCATTACACCACAGTGAAGTACCCAGATACCTTGGTTCCGCTGGGGATCGAACTCGGGACCTCTCGTAAGTAAGTGAATATAAGGAACGCGATGACCGGAACGTCATCTGTGCTGAAATTGTCCAGCATACACTGGACAGGGCTGACATTGCATGGCGGTTCTGACCTCTTCTCTAAGGTATTATTACTATATTTATATAAAAATATATATTATAATGTCTGGCCGCTCGTATTCGAGTATACCTATCTACTAGGGCGTCTAGCCAATCCCTGCCAATCCCTGTTGCAGACACCTGTTCAGGCACGTTTGTGTTTGTTCATAGGGTTCACCTGTGGTTTATATTGCAAGTGCAATTTTGCCGAGCGGACATTAATTAAAGTATCTAGAAGAGGTTACCTTGACTTGTGTTAGCACAAACAACGACGTGGTTCCGCTTACCTAATTTCAGTCAAGCCGTGGTATGGTTTTCAAGCATTTGTGAAGCACTAACAGATAGGGTATCGAGCGATCGGAAAAATTAATATGGTTAGATTTGATCAACCGGTTGTAAAGGTCTGTGCGCTGAAACTTTCCAAGCTGAAACGGTCCCGGTGAACCACAATTTAACTGAATCTACTCAATTGGCCACTGCAAGATACAAATACTACAAATAAAGCAAAATGAGAAAACTACTTGAAAATACAGAAACTGTCAACATAATGTCCTACTCTAAAGAAATGGCCGTATACCAAAACATATAACACCTACAATAGATCTATATAGATTATATATCTATAAAACATACATTGGACACTTAGGCGTGGTGTATCGAGTTTGTCTCACAAGATCAATTCTGAGCGAGTTCGAATCTATCTATCTATCTATCTTGTCTCATCATATCTATCTATCTATCTATCTATCTATCTTGTCTCATCATATCTATCTATCTATCTATCTATCTATCTATCTATCATGTTGTCTCATCATATCTATCTATCTATTTTACCTTCTTCATTATCTATCTATCTATCTATCTATCTATCTATCTATCTATCTCATCATATCTATCTATCATGTTGTCTCATCATTATCTATCTATCTATCTATCTATCTATCTATCTACCATGTTGTCTCATCATATCTATCTATTTTACCTTCTTCATTATCTATCTATCTATCTATCTATCTATCTATCTATCTATCTATCTATCTATCTCATCATATCTATCTATCATGTTGTCTCATCATTATCTATCTATCATGTCTCATCATATTTATCTATCTATTTTACCTTCTTCATTCTCTATCTATCATGTTGTCTCATCATTATCTATCTATCTATCTATCTATCTATTTATTTATCTATCTATCTATCTATCTATCTATCTATCTATCTACCATGTTGTCTCATCATATCTATCTATCTTTTTACCTTCTTCATTATCTATCTATCTATCTATCTTATCTATCTATCTATCTACCATGTTGTCTCATCATATCTATCTATCTATCTTTTTACTTTCTTCATTATCTATCTATCTATCTATCTATCATGTTGTCTCATCATATCTATCTATCTATTTTACCTTCTTTATTATCTATCTATCTATCTATCTATTCTACATCCATATATCAAGTATGTTTATTTGCGCACGTATGTTTATTTGCGCACTAACGAATATTGGTGCGGCGCGGTAAATCGGCGAGCCGATTTCAATTTCCGTATTTTCTGTTGCGTCCTCTTTCGCATAAATTCCTTCGTCTGTTCTTCCTCCAGCGATGGGTTAAGTAGCAGAGTAAACGGGACCCACTAGCCTTGATGGTGGTGGTGGTGGTAGTAGCGGGGAAGGAATCAGGCCAAGTGAAGAAAATCAATCCGTTCTGAAGGCAACGGGAAACCAGTCCACTATCTTTCCCAAGAATGAGTGACACCTCACAGGTGATAATGAAAAGGGATCTCTGGCTCTTGTCATGGTAGAGCAGAGGGGTGGGGTGGGTAGATAAAAATCCAGATGTCACTGAAGTGTGAATGTCCACCACACACACACACACACACACACACACACACACACACACACACACACCTCTTTATCTGAATACATAAGTAGATGCATTTCTCTCTCTCTATCTGAGTACACACACACACTCACAGACGTCTCTTTGTTTTCTATTTTTCTGAGTACACACACACATCTCTTCTCTCTTTCTTTCTCTCTCTCTCTCTCTCTCTCAACACACACACACGTCTCTTTGTTTTCTATTTTTCTGAGTACACACACACATCTCTTCTCTCTTTCTCTCTCTCTCTCTCTCTCTCTCAACACACACACACGTCTCTTTGTTTTCTATTTTTCTGAGTACACACACACACATCTCTTCTCTTTTTTTCTATCTCTTTCTCTCTCTCTGAACACACACACACACACACACACGTCTCTTTTTCTTCCCGTTCTCTGAATACTTACAGCCACGCATTTATCTTTCTATCGCTTTCTGAATACATACATACGCCCTTTTCCTCTCGCTGAATAAGTTCACATACGCATTCATATATCGCACTGAATGCACATATATTTATGTATGTGTATATGTATATCTACATGCGTTAATACCTGTATAAAGATGTCCTTAAAACGCTAGAAAGTTCTCTATTTTTTATTACTCCAGAGACTGTATTATCGAAATGCATGTTTTTATCGGGCACTATCGCTAATAATTTAGAGGATTTAGTTGTTCTGTTACATCATTAGAGAAAGTCTATAGGAAACTGAATCGATTGGATCTTGATCTTGCAAGGGAGAGGAGGAAGTTGTGGTACATGAAAGTGAAAGTCGTGCCAGTAGTTTTCGGATGACTCGAATAGTCAAGATGAAAAAAAAATGTATGAAGTCAGGGGAAGAGTTGGGAACATCCAGACGAATTCTTCCATATACCGTGTCCCTTCAGGATGAAGGTGATCATGGCTCTCCACAATTTCCTGTCCTTTTAGCTTTTAATAAATTTTGTTTTTCTTTTATCTCTCCTAAATCTTAGTCCGCTATCTATTTATTCAAGCTCACTAAGTAGGTGATGCGTTGTTTTTCTCTGTCCTTATTGCCTTCAATCTGTCCTGTGAGTATCAAATTTTTCGAACACTCTTTCCTCATTATGTGCCCTAATATTAATTCTCTTTAATGTATTATCAATTTTTGTATGGCATTGCATTCTTCTTCTGTGTCATGCTCCTTGAGAACATTGCTGAGTATGGCTCTCCACAATTAAAATTTGTCTTCTTGTTATTTCTCCTAAACTTTGTTCAGCCATCTATTTACTCAAGCTCATTATGTTATGCGTTGGTTTTCTTTGTCCATTTTGCCTTCAATCCGTCCTGTGAGTATCAGTTTTTCCAAGCCTTCTTTCCTCAAGTCGATTATGCGTTGTTTTCTTCTGTCCCTCTTGCCCTCAATCTGCCCTGCGTGTATAAAATTTTCCAAGCTCTTTTTCCTCATTATCTACCTTAGAAGTTTTAACTGTCTCTTTCAGATGTTAAGTAGAAGTGTTCTTTTTTGCTTCCATTTTCTCTAAAACTTTGTCGTTTGCTCATATGTTCACTCCATGTTATTCTCACCATCCTTCTGTAGGACCACATTTCTATTGCTTCAAGTCTCTCCTTCATCTGTGAGGAAATTTCCAACATCTAGATATCTTTGGCTATTAAGATGTTATGGAGTGATAAGATAAAGATCTTAACACCTGATATTTCCCAGCGTTTACTCATCTCAGTGCTGACCAGACTTAACGTTGCTTAACTTCGGTGATCGAACGAGAACCAATGTTTCAGCGTAATATGACCGCAATATGCTAAGATGTTATGTGCTGATAAGATCTTCTTTAGGTGCCGCGTCCCCTCAGTACGTAAGCGATCGTGGCTCTCCACAATTTCCAGTCATTTGTACCTCTTAATAGTCTTTTTCTTATCTCTCCTGAACCTTGTTCCGCCATCCATTTACTCAAGCTCATTATGTTATGCGTTGGTTTTCTTTGTCCCTTTTGCCTTCAATCCGTCCTGTGAGTATCAGTTTTTCAAAGCCTTCTTTCCTCATTGTTATGGGACCTTACCCATAATAATAATAGACTATTCCATACTTAATAAATACTGCGCCTCAGGAGTAGACAAGGAGTCAGTCGACCTAGTACTTTCTGAGCGACTGTTCGGTTGTACTCTCTTCCTTCGGACGGGAGGAACCCGAAGGAGGCTACGCCGAAGGGCGGAGTCTCTTTCGGGGAGGTGAACCGGCCCTGAACCCGTTTATACGGGTTCAATGGGCATATTTTTGGCCGAGCCCACAGGCTCGGAATGCCCACGTTAAAAAGGCCTTGTGCCACATGATGCCCTCGTGTGGGGGTGACTGAATATCGTCAGTCGAGTCAGTAGTTCAAGTGAGTCAGTCGTTTAAGTTTAGTCAGTAGTTCGAGTCAGTCAGTCAGTAGTTCAAGTGAGTCAGTAGTTCAAGTGGAGTCAGTCGTTCATGTCGAGTCAAGAGTCGTGTCAGAGGCAGTCGGAAACATAGTCGCGTTCAGACAATTACTGCAAGACATTGGAATAGTGATACTGGTCGAGACTACATTGTTCTCTCTACTAAACCTGATTGTTCATACTAACACTTCTACTTCTCTGTATATATTCCTGTTTGTAATATATCTGTGTTTTTCCATACCTGTGTTCGAGTTCTTCTTTATTGGTTCTACCTTGGACTATCACCGTGGTACAAGGAACCGGACCATAACACTTATTATATAGCCTAGAAATTTCAACTGTCTCTTCCTGATATTAAGTGTAATTTTCAATTTTGTATCCATTTCCTTTAAAACTTCTTCGTTGCTCACATGTTTGGTCCATGGTATTCCCAGCATCCTTCTGTAGTGAAATCAGCTAGATTGTGAAGAGTGTTGGTGTATTAAAGGGACTTGCTGTCAATCAATCTCCACTGTTAATCACCAGTTACTATTGGTGTGAACATTCAGTGAATGAACCAATGAATGAAAGAATGAGGATGCTGCCCATCATTGTAAACAAAGCAAACAGAGTGAGAGGAAATATGCAACGTAAATAAAATCCGAAGAAAAAGCACTTGCAAAGAGCAACTTCTGCTGTAAGAAGAAGATCCAAGTACGATTATAATTTGATGCATCATAGAATTGTGAAAATACCTTTGCAAATGGATTATAAAATGAAATATTTTCTACAACCAAAATGGCAAAAAAGGGAAAGGACTATACTGAATTGTATTTTTAGACAGATATTGAAAGGCTTTTAAACCGAAAGATGTTTGTATTTGCATTAATATTTATAATGATGACCATATCTAGCCATCCATCTAGCTAGTTAAGTAGTCAATTAGTCTCTTCTTATCTATCTATCTATCTATCTATCTATCTATCTATCTATCTATCTTGTTTTCTCTCCATATCTATCTAGCTAGTCAGTTCATATCTATCTATTTATCTAGTCTGTTCATATCTATCTATCTATCTAGTCTGTTCATATCTATCTATCTATCTATCTATCTATCTATCTTGTTTTCTCTCCATATCTATCTAACTAGTCAGTTCATATCTATCTATTTATCTAGTCTGTTCATATCTATCTATCTATCTATCTATCTATCTATCTATCTATCTATCTATCTATCTTGTTTTCTCTCCATATCTATCTAGCTAGTCAGTTCATATCTATCTATCTATCTATCTATCTATCTATCTATCTATCTATCTATCTATCTATCTATCATGTTGTCTCATCATTATCTCTCTCTCTCTCTCTCTCTATCTATCTGTTTATCTATATTTATTTCTGTATATTCATATCTATGTCTAATCATGTCTATAAATCTATCTATTCATATCTGTCTAACTCTTTTCATATCTATCTATCTATCTATCTATCTATCTATCTATCTATCTATCTAGTCTCTTCTTATCTACACATTTATATCGAGAATAAAACGAATGGCGCGAGGTGCATACAAACACATATGCGGACTGAAACAAGTGACGTTTTTAACTGTAGTTGGCGGCAAAATGTGTTTATATGTTAAAGTAAAGAAAATTATTCCATAATTTCATAATCTTTGCATTATAAGCATTTCAATAAAAATCAGCATTGGCCTGAATGACACCCTATCTTCTGTACACAATTTACTTTCAATGGTTAAAAATGGTTTCGAGTGAATGAAGACTCTAGAAGTTAGCAAGGACAATGCTTCTTCGAACTCTGTGAACTGGCGCTAAAGAAGCACAAACAAAGAACTGTACCAAATAACAGAAATCCTACCACTTGAGGACATTCAATAACAGCAACAAATAAAATGGATGGCCCATGTATTTTGAAGACAAAATAACGGTTTAGAAGTAAGTTCCCATCAATTCTGGAAAGAGTAATTACTGGACTTGAGAAACCTATTTTCCTGAAAAATTGTTTTAAGCGGAAGATTTTATGAATTTCAACCGAAATTAGCACAGACTGCATGTTCAGTGAATGCCAAATGTTTCCTTATAAGGAAATGGTTGTTATTACAATTATTATTTTCGTATTCATTATTTCCACAGATGTTATATAATATCTGTCCTCCTATATGAATAGTGACTGCTAGACAATCTCCTCACGGATGAAGAAGAGACTTGAGGCAACAGAAACATACTAAGAATACCATGAACTGAACATGTGAATAACGAGGAAGTTTTAATGGAAATTGTAACATAATGGACATTTATACTCAGAATAAGTAAGTGATTTCTAGGACACATAAGGACGAAAGGAGGCTTTGAAAGAATTAACACTCACAGGACATACTGAAGGCAAAATGGACAGAGAAAAACAGCGAATAACCTACCTAAATAGATGACAGGAGAGGGAGTAGGAGGAATAGTGAAAAGACAATAACTTACTAACATCTACAAGGGATAGCAAGGTGTGGAGAGTCATGATCAACCAAGTCCCGAAGAGACGCGGCATATGGAGAAAGAAGAATATTCATTGTTTGGATGTATGCTCGTAGCGTAGTGGTTATCAGCGCCGAAATAACTCAATTCAAAACTGGTTGGGCGTTGGGTTGTCAAATCCCCCCCGTAAAAACATACTTTGTACAGAAGCCACGGCATCCTTTGTTGTTCATGATGACAGTCGTCTTGGAGTATAGAATCCAGAGGTTAGCAGTGAATATTTTGAAGACAGTAGGAAAGCGTAGTTCAGGTTAGCCGTGGATATCCCGGTAAAGTAGCAGAGTAGTTCTTCCTTCTGTTCCTCTTCGCCTGACAAGCTGGCACTGGACATTCGGATAGAGTAAACAAAATGGCCGCCTTTATACACGACGGATTGAATATTCTACGTCTTCTGATTGGTTAACCCTTGGTGACCCTGTTATTTAAGGAAGATATACACAGTTTAGAAATATACGTAATATCAGCTATATAATATGCTGAAATTGTAAACACTGTTCTGTTTTAGTTACATGTAGTTTTAAATATTGTAAATACTCTATTATCATGGAACTGATTATCTTTAAAGTGAGGTTCACGCTGCAGGAGCCACTCGAGCTAGAGGGTTAAACTAAGAGGCAGTTTATGGGGATAAGAGAGGAAGATAACGATTAACCGGGGAAACATCGTTTTGGGAGTCAGTTTTTCTCGTCCGAGTCCATCCTTCAAATCTATAAATCAACCATCCGTCCTTGCATGAAATATTGTTGTCATATATGGTCTGGTGCCCCCGCTGTACATATCGAGCTCCTCGACAAAATCCAGAGACGAATATGCAATGTGATAGGTCCTGATCTGGCATCTAGTTTACAGTCGCTTTCTCGCAGACGTGCTGTGGCTTCCCTCTGTCTTTTCTACAAATTATTTTCACGGCAACTGTTCCGAAGAGCTACTTTCGCTGGTTCCCAGACTGCATGAATTTAAGCGAGCTACTAGGCTGGCATCTCGGTCCCACCCTTTCACTGTCGAAACGATTAAATGTAACCGCCTCTTCTACTCAAACAACTTCTTCTCTCGCACTTCTCGTCTGTGGAACTCCCTTCATCTTGCTTGCTTCCCCGTTACCTATAATCTTCAAATATTCAACTGTAATATCAATCGGCATTTAATACCTTGATCTTGTTCCCGGTCCTTCTCTGTTTCCTTTCTCCAAACACGCCTCTTTACTCTTATTACCAATCCTCTGTAACCCCTTGCGTGCTAGTGGCATACCCGCCTTGCTTGGGGGTGAATTGCTTTAGAAAAAAGTTCCACAAAGCAGTGGTTCGCGGGAAGAAGCTGTTCAATTGGAACTTCTGACCGATGGGACACGGAAGGAATGTGGGTGGTTTGCTACAATATGAGGGGCATGGAAGCCGTGAAGGTTTGAACTGGTGGAACCAAGGAATGTAGTTCATTGATTTTTATGTTGATAGCGATTTAACGTTTGAGGGTTTGATGACAACCTATTTTCAAAGACAGAGGTTGGAGGATGAAAAATTATTTTGTCACCCACAAGAACTCGGAGGCGCTTTTGGACTCTATCAAGACCGGAGAGTAAGAACTGTACAGCCAATATGGCAAAAGTATTCCATTTTTGGAATCTGGAAAAATAAAGGTAGAAGATCACATGACTATTTATGGTGCCCCAATAAGGATCGATGTCAACTTTAAAGGTCTACCACAGAAATTAGAAAGCAAACGATAACCGCTCCTCCAATTAATTAAAAAGAAGTGGCAAGGAATATATATATATATATATATATATATATATATATATATATATATATCAATATATCTATATATTTTGGTATATCGGGGAATGAATTCATCCTTCAACAATTACTATTTTAAAAAGAGTGCTCAATACAAATTTGGACAGATTGTCCTAAGGACCATTGTCTGTGGATGTATGTATGTGTATATATCGATGTCTATGGACCCAAAGAGTGTATTCACATTTATCTGTGTGTGTATAAGTGTTAGTTTCCACGTCTCCTTTTTTTTTCATAAAGGGCTGTAGGAGATGTTCATGTATTCCCCATCACCTCTCCTTTTTTAGTGTGTGTGTATGTTTGTGTGTGTGTGTGTGTGTGTGTGTGTGTGTGTGTGTATCTAATTATGTCTGGATGCTTATGTATTATAATCTGATTGTGTTTTTGTTGTGTCAAGATGAGGAGTTTAGACCATATAATGAACAAACTTTAAAATAAAAACGGAAAAGAGAAAGGAAAAAAGAAAAAATATATATACATGTATTATCAAATGACCGGATGTATTTTAGCGTATGGTCTTCTCGAAAAATAATTTCAATGAAGAAATGAATTGAATAAACAATATATATTTTTTCTTTTATCAATCGCCGCTACCCAGTTTTTAAACTTAATTTTCTTTTAAATTTGGTTTTAAAATTGCCATTTTTAATTTTAATATTAAATTTTATCATGTAAATTTATAATTATTAGTTAGTATAAATTATTTTTAATATTACACGTATTTAAAGATATGAATAGCTATTAGAGCAGGATTTCATTTGTCTAGCTTTTGAATCTTTCTATACTTCGTTTTTTGATTGGTTATTCTAGCTTTTGTAACAATGTTTCCCCCAGTGTAGGATCGTTAATTAATAATAAACTTTTAAAACCATTTATTTTCTTTTCAACATCATAACTTGATCCACTCTGTGTGTTAAACAAAATGACCTATTTTTGTAGTGATTTTATAACATACTTATGTTATAATTTTTTTATAAAAATAATTATATATATATATATATATATATATATATATATATATATATATATAGTTGTGTGTGTGTGTGTGTGTGTGTGTGTATTTGAATTTAAAAACCATAGATAAATGATTGTCAATGATTAAAAATTTAAACAAAAACGTCAGGGTAATAGTCAGAATATGCTAGAATATATTCAATGACAATCAAAATTGGCTTTTTTATACTTAAATAAAGTAAAATAGAGCTATTTTATATTCAATGACGGTCAAAAACGGTTTATTTTATATTTACAGTCAAACCAGGACTAGTTTACCTGTAATGAAGGTAAATAGGGCTACTATATATTTAATAACGGTGAAGAAAGGGATATTTTTATCTAACGACAGTCAAAATACGGCAATTTTATGTTTGATGAAAGTAAAATGGGACTATTTCCTAATAAATAACGCTAAAAAGTGATACTGTATATTTAACAAAGATCAAAACATGACTATTATAAGCTTAGTGCCAGTCAAAATAATGTCATATATTTAATGTCGTGAAAAGATTGCTATTATATGTTAATGATTATTAAGGTAGAGCTATCATTTATTTAATTATAATAAAAATATAATAAAAAAAAACGAGCTACGTAAAGTATTAAGCAGAAAAAAAAGATTCATATATTACAAAGATGCAGGCAAAAAAAAAAAAAGATACAAATCCTAAAAAAGAAGCAATACGCTGGAAGCCGAGCCATCATGCCACAAAAAAAAAAAAGATAGAAATATAAACGGTGATACAAATACTGAGTGAACTAATGTATGTCTACGTTTGCGAAAGACAAATGTTGAGAAAAGAAACGATATTAACTCAGAAATAAGTTTTTACAAATAGAAGATACGTTTTAGAAAAAAGTTCTTGTTTCGTTTTAGAAAAAAATACACGGTGACGTAACGGTTATTGGAAAAAAAAATGAGAATCACCAAAGCGAATTCAAATTATTTTTTTTTTTTTTTTTGAAAAATTTATTACGATTATCCTTTGGGAAATATAAATTTAGCAACATAAGCGTTTTAGAAAACTCAGCGTTGATAAGCTATACGGAAAGAAAAAAAAAACCCAGAAAGAATTTAGCAAAAAAAAAAATATTAGAAGGAATAAAAATTGCAAGAAGTCAGAATGTATGGTTGTTAGCCGTAAAAGGAACAGCCCAACTTGCAAATTACAAATTGGAGA